CCTTGATGCAGGTACCTCGAAGATGGAGCTGGAGCTATGGCGCCACAGGTAAGTACCGCTGGCCTCCGCCAGCCATCTCCCTCCAATGCTACTACTATCACCTACCGGCGCCCAGCGCTGAAGACTACACCTACAGCTATGGGCGCCCAGCGCTGAAGACTACTGCAAGCGCTGAAGACTACTGCAGCGCTCCTTCTGAGTGCTGCGGCTGAATCCTGAAGACTACTCGTGCCTACTGTCCAACTACTTACCGTGAAGTGCATGGGAAAGTCCTATGTACTACTCGGCCTGCCTCCTGACTGCAGGGCGAGGCAGTCCAGGAGGCTGCTCTTGCCAATGCCGCAGGGAGTCAGGGGCTGCCGCTGCAGCTCCTGCTTGAGGCAGTCGTGGGAACAGGCTAAAGATAGCCTGTTCCGAAGACCCTGTTTTTGTGCCTGAGTCTTAGGGTCGGTCGAAACAATGAGGGCCTGAAAATGGCCCTCCGTTTCAGGCTGAAAAGCCTCTGGGCCTGAAAGGCCCAGAAATAGGCTGAAAATGGAATAGGGCCTGCAGGCCCTCGTTTTTCAGTTTCAGGCTGAAAGGACCGGGGCCTGTAAGCCCTATTTTCTAGGCTTCTAGGCTGAAAGTGCGGGACGGGCCCTGCAGGGCCCGTGTGGCTACGCAGTATGCCACAGGTAGGGAGGTAGTCTCATAAACGGGGGTGGACCCTTAAAAAAAAAAAAAGCAAGAAAACAAAGAAAAAAAGGAAAAAAGAAAAAAAAGGAAAAAAGGAAAAAAAGAACAAAAGAAAACAAAGGTGTGCACTCTTCCCTCCATTCCGTGTGCATCCAGGAAGAAGCAGATATACTGTTTGTTCAACTTTGTTGTTATTTTAACTTATTTAACAGTCTTTTTTTTTTTTTTTTTTGGACCATTTTTTTTTTTTTTTTTTTTTTAAAGGGCGCTGGCGACAGTGCTCTGGGCGCATGATGACAAGAAGACCGACACCGCCACCCGCCTCGAATTTGCAGTCCAAAACGCGCCAAACCTCTCGACAAGTATTATTCGAAGATGTTGGTACTATTCATCGTCCTGAAGTCTGCTCGAACGTTTTTCTGTCCCGGAGAGGACAACCCATGGGTTTTCGACATTTTTTCTCACGTATGGTTTTGGTGCTTGAACGTGGACCAGATACCGGTCTGGGTCCATATGCAGGGCAGCCTGTCAGCCTTGCCTAAATAAGAAGAATTTCTTTTTTTTCTTTTTTTTTCCTTTCTGAATGAGCGGACGACTGGGTCTGCATGGATAGATCAGGCAGGAAATAGCAGCAATAGAGCAAGTAGAGCTTTCCGAGGAGATATAAGGAGCTGAAGGCGCACGCCTTCATTCAGACTGAGCAGTTGAGGTAGACGGTCTGTAGCATGTAGCTCCCTCGGGTACTACATGCTGGTTCAATGATGTAGTAATGCTGTGAGAGTAAAACCTCTACTACATTATTTTAGAGTTATCGTTCTTGAGGTATTATCATCGGACCAACCAGCCCAGGTAAATTCAA